GATTTGAAACCCTAGGGGTCAACGCCGGTCAACGCGTTGCGGCAAAAAGCCAACACACGCACGAGCCAAACTCAATTCATCAGCTGCAGACTCGAGACTCCGACGACGGCCAGACGATAAACGCAGCGCCGGAAGAACCTCGGCTATTCGTCAAAGCATCGGATAGATCGAAAATCGAAAGAGTCAAGAGTTGAAGCTAACTACGCCGACTGAAGGCCAGATCAATCACATCCAAAGTATTCCAGCCTCTTCTATAAAAGAAACGAGTCAGGAACACTTTGGAGGGGGTATCTGTAGGCATCAAAAATTGCCTATAGTTCTCCACAACCGGTTCAGTGTTAACGAGCGACGATGAACGTCACCATCCAATCCACATGAGCCTAATCGACGTCGACGAACGACTGAAGTGAATCGACGAGTTACATGAGCGGATAGGACTTCGGAATCACGAAGACCCGGACCAATCGGGAAGCCCGGCATTGTTCACAAAAAGGACAACGCCCTTCATGCCTCGACCACTCTACAGATAATCCAATTACCAGAGCGGGTCAAACTCTTCGTCGCGCATCCAACGCACCCGGAATCACTCAAATCCGAATCCGGACGAAGAATATACAGGGGAAACAACTAATACACCTAATCACCCCCCCTCTAGGGTCTAACAATTGGTATCAGAGCTTGGTGCTCTTTGATTTAAGGACTAACCGCCTTGAGTTAAAGATCCAAGTTATCTTATTTGTGCTAATCTAGTTATGATTGCATTTGTCTTGCTTGCATATGTTCATATATATATCTTGAATATGAATGTATTTTGTTTAGGCTATAAATCCAATGTTGCTCCTAAATTCATTAATTTTCCCTATGCACAATGGGCTTCTAGATTTAAACTATTTGTTGAATCTAGAAATATTGACTTATGGAAAATTATTGATTGTGCTTATATTGTGCCCACATTGGAGAAATCTAAGTGGAGCAATCATGATAATAAAATGTTTAATATGAACAAGCTTTTGTTAGAATATTTGCTTAATGCCTTTGACTCATCATTTTCTAACAAATTTGTTCATTTTGATAGTGCTTACAATTTATGGAAATTCATAGAAGCACATCAAGGCAACTTGGAGGAAATCCGACGTAGTTTGGAGGATTGTTCTTCAAGTGAGTGTGGAGCATCATCATGCACACGGCCACTAGGCGATAGCCCTAGTGTGGTAAGCGATTCGGAATCCGAAAGTGATATATCCATCAATGAACTCGCTTGTGCATATGAGAAATTATTGCATGCCTATACAAAATTACAAAATAATTTTATTGATCTTAAAAGCAAGCATGTAGAATTGAAATCCGATCATGAGAAGCTAGTGTCCAAATTTGACATCATTGAAAATGAAAATATAATGCTTAAAGAAAACAATGATATGTTAAATTTGGAAAATGAAAAATTGATCTCATCCATTTCTAGCTTAACTCATGCAAATAATGCCATGCTAGAAGTAGAATGCATTAGAAATGAATTTGATTCTTTTAAGAATAACCATACATGCTCTACTTCTATTATCAATGATGTTGTATCTAATGATGAGTTGAATCATGTGAAAAAACGCATATCTTGTTTAGATTCAACCTTAAACACATGCATTGATAATCATAACAAGCTTATGGACTTGTGTGCAAAGTCTAATGCAAACTCTTCTAAGAAACCTACACACTATGCACACATGTATAACAAAGTCTATAAATGCACTAATTGCGGTCGTAAAGGCCACCTTGCTAGATTTTGTTATAATGCACAAAAACCCATCAAGATTAATCATGTTTGTGCATCCCATCAAGCTTCATCATCACACTCACATGTACACACACGTATAGATCATCATAAACATGCCCATATGTACAAATGTGAGTTTTGTGGTCGTTTTGGTCATTTGGCCGAATATTGTTTTGATTTGAAAAGAAAATCACGTTTGCAAATGTATCTTTGAATGTGATGTTTGTGGTAGGTTTGGACATCTTGCTAAATTTTGTTTTGATTTGCAAAATACTCCAAATTTGCAATTTGCTCCAACAAGACCACCTTTGTTTAATGATGTTTCTCATTTGCAAAATAATTTTAAAAGACAATCTTTATTTGCAAATGTTCCACGTGCACCTTTTAATGGTCAACATAAACAAATGCTTCCTTTCCATTGTACATATTGCAATTGGAAGGGTCATTTGAGTAATTATTGTTATGACCGATCCCGTGCATCATATATGTCCAAGAGGGTTCATAACCCTAGGACTTTGAGCTTTAATGATAGGGGTCATGTCCCTAAACAAACCGGCACCAAGAATACTTGGGTGCCAAAATAATTTTTAAAGCCAAGAATTTTAGTATTTTTTCTTTTTCTTGGTTTCGAAAAATGTATTTTAAATTTTTATGAAAACAATTCCTTTTATTGATCAAATCTTTTGTTTTCATGATTATATGATTTGCTTTCATGAGAGGACTACGTTTATATAACCCTCCGGATTTATTGGGTGTTTATTCCCAAATCATGTTTACTGGATGCTAAAATGTTCATATGGGTTAATACTAGCTCAAGATTTAGATAGAGTTGCCTCTCTTGAAATTCTTTTATCAAAAATTTTGTTTTGAAGTATTACTTTGAATTCATTATATTTCACTTATATGATGATATTTATGTGTTTGTGCTTATGGATCATCTATTCGTGCCTTATAATGTATTCTATATATGGTTTGATCAAATCCCACAAAGAAAATTTTCTTGATTGATCAAACATCGTTTTTGGATTTAAACTTTGATTTATGATTTCATTGGTTGATTTGTTTTCATTTGAAAACTTTTTACATGATTCTCATGTCTTCCTTCTTGTGATTTCATAAATCTTTTTTATACATGGTTTTCATGTTTTTGATATGAGATAATATGTTCATCTTGATATATTTATATATGTTCTCATTATCTCTTGTATGTGAGTGATTTTTGGCATATCATTTATGCTTGCTCACATGTTTTGCCATGATCTTCATCGCATATATTCTATATGGCTTTTTGATAGGGGGAGCAATCCCTATACTTGTTTGATACTCACCTATGCTTATTGGTAGGGGGAGCTTTCGCTCTCTTAATTCTTTTGTCCCCTTTTTGATGTTGTCAAAGGGGGAGAAATATTGTGAGTATATCTATCTTGTTTGTTTATATGCATGTGAATTATAATTTATATATTCTTTCCTTTCATGCATATATCTCTTTTCGTAAATTATTTGTCATCATTAAAAAGGGGGAGATTGTTGTTCTTCTTGTTTTGATGATGTTTAACAAACAATTTATAACTAATGTTGTTTGTCTAGTGCTTGTATTATCTATTCATTGTAGACAAACAACGTCGTTGGAGGATGGATGGAATAGAGCTTCAACGATCATATCAAGAGGAGGTTGGCGGAATTGTGGAGTGAAGCATCGTACAATTCAAGTTCAAGATTCAAGTTCAAGCTTCATCCGCAAATATATCAAGTCAAGCCTATTGAAGATCAAGATCAAGCTTTGGTATATTTAGTTTAGGTTTTATATTATGTGTGTTAGATACTCTAAGCTCAATATCATATACACACACAATATTGGATTTTCTCACAAAATGAGCTATTTTGAGAAAACTTTATGATATTGTTTTATTGACCATGTTTACTTTATATTCATGTGTTATAATATTTATGAAGACATTTCATAAAGTTTCAATATGCTGTTCATATCTTATATCGCCTTTGTATATTGCTTGTTGATTATATTGCCCTCCATCTAGTTTAGAGTATTTACCCTTGTGTTAGTTTTATATCCTTGCACATACATTGTCTATATCTCTTTGTTAGGATATATCTTATTGTTTATATATCCTTTCATATATTTCTATCATATAGGATATATCACCTTGTGTATATTGCATATTCTTGCACATAACTCTTTGTATATCTATCTTGCAAGAATAAACTTGTTAATTAGCTTTAATTGGCATTTAATCGGATTAGATTAGCATAAGACCCTAATCACCCCCCCTCTAGGGTCTAACACTCACGTGTGGAATTAAATCCTAACATGCCAGGTACAAACGCTGATGTGATAAAGGATCCGCTATCCAAGTTATATGTTGAATCAAACTTATACATGCCGATTCAGTCATCTTTTGTGACAAATCGACGACAAACTGAATCTTCACAAGCAGTCTTCATAGTACCGGCTAAGGTTAACGGTCAAAAAGACATCATCTTCGGAACGGTGCAAACTATTTTGGAGGAATCCGAGAAAGAGGAAAGGGATCTGTAATTATCATACTTTACTCCAACAACCCGAAAGCTTACGAAGAATATGGGATACGATTTCATCCATAAACAGGGCTTAAATTTCGGCAGAGCGATTCGAACATCAATACGATCTGCGTATGTCCCGGAAGGAAAATCGGAGGATTATTATCACAAAACTCGTAATGGATTAGGTTATGAATCTCCACCATTTATGCTACGTTTCGGGACCAAAGGAGAGTCATATGATGACTCTTTCACCTTATCTTCTGAATCTAATTGCTGGGAATCTGATACCAGTACAGGAGCTGTATTCAAGGTACTCATGGCAAACATGACCTCGGTATCTCCGATAGAGAATCAGGAAGATGATCAATTACTTCTATTTGACGATCCATTAAGTCGACAACTGGGTATATAGTGGGAACACCGTTTTTAACAACGTGAACCCCCTACTGAGGACAAGGTTATTCAAGTGAACATGGGAGACGAGATTAATCCAAAACCCATATTCATAAGCGATAGTTTTTTGCCAGAAGAGAAAGAAGACCTTATTACCCTAATACTAGGGTATATTGATGTATTCGCTTGGAACTACGAGGCTATGTCTGGGCTTGATCCCCAAGTGGCTATGCATTAATTAAACATCAAACCAGACGTCAAGCATGTTAAACAATAGCAAAGGCAATTTCGGCCCTAAATCATGAAAGCAATTGAAGCTGAAGTTAAAAAGCTCATCGAGTCAGGATTTATCCGTGAAGAGCAACATCCTGATTGGGTGGCCAATATTATTCCTGTTCTGAAAAAGAACGGGAAGATTCGAGTGTGCATTGACTTCCGTGACTTGAATTCAGCTTGTCCTAAAGATGATTTTTCTTTACCTATCACAGACGTCATTATTGACAATATGTGTGGGTTTGAAAGGATGTCCTTTATGGATGGATTCTCAGGGTACAACCAAATCAAAATGTATCTTGATGATGAAAAGCATACATCCTTTTGAACACCTTCAGGGATATACTATTATACAGTAATGCCCTTTGGATTGAAAAATGCGGGCGCTACCTATCAACACGCTATGACCTCTATCTTTCAAAAACATCTACGGAAGACTGTAGAATGTTACGTTGATGACTTGGTTGTTGACCTCTATCTTTCAAAAACATCTACGGAAGACTGTAGAATGTTACGTTGATGACTTGGTTGTTAAAAGTCGTGACAAGGGAAACCATTTGCACACGGAAGACTGTAGAATGTTACGTTGATGACTTGGTTGTTAAAAGTCGTGACAAGGGAAACCATTTGCACAACATGAAAACAATGTTTGATCTTATGTGAGCGCACCAACTCAAGATGAATCCGACTAAGTCATTTTTAGGGATGGCTAGCGGTAAATTTCTCAGATTCGTGGTCATGGCTAACGGAATTCGTTTGGATCCGGATAAAGTCAAGGCCATCCAAGAATTCCTACCTCCCAGGAATCTTAAGGAGCTTTGAGGCTTACAAGGACGATTGGCATATATTCGTAGGTTTATGTCTAACCTATCTGGGAAATGCTAACCATTCTCAAAACTAATGAAGAAAGGAGTATCCTTTATGTAGGATGATGCTTTCCAGAAAGCGTTCGAAGAGATTAAGCAATATCTCTCTAATCCACCGATATTGGTCGCAGCGAAGTTAGGTAAACCTTTCTTGATATGCATCCGGACTACAGATCATGCATTAGCAGGACTCTTGGCACAAGATGATGAAAAAGGCTATGAACAAGCTGTCTACTATGTCAGTAGGACTCTATCAGGTGCTGAACCTCGTTATCCTCTTATTGAGAAGGAATGTTTAGCACTGGTCTTCACAGTTCAGAAAATACGATATTATTTGGTCGGACAAACCATACATGTCATTTCCCTGATCAATCCTATTCGAGTGTTCATGACACAGCCTAGTGCATTGAATTGGCGACTCGCCAGACGTGCTTTATTGCTTTCCCAATATGACATTCACTTCAAACCTCAAAAAGCAGTGAAAGGTCAGGCTATTTGTGAGCTTATGGCTAATCATCCACTGAAAGAAAAGGCCAAATTATACCAGGACATACCTGATGAGACGTATGAAGCAAACGTCGTCTCTAGAGAACAAGTATGGCAATTGTACTTCGATGGTGCAGCAAGGACAAGTTCTACTGGTCGGGTTATAGCTGGAGTGGGGGTTGTCTTTATCTCTCCCTAAAATCACATACTCCCACGTGCTGTTTCTTTAACAGAGCCTTGTTCTAATAATATGGCTGAATACAATGCTTTATTGGTTGGCCTAGATATAGCCAAACAGCTGGGGGTGAGACACCTAGAAGCGTACGACGATTCTCAACTCATTGTTAATCAAATGAAGGGAGAATATGAGGTTAGGACCTTATTCCTTACCATACAACAACAATCGCATTGGCCAATTCCTTTGAGGGCTTCTACATCAACCATATACCACGTCTCAAGAATACCTATGTTGATGCATTGGCGTCACTGGCGGATACCCTAGCTTTACCCGAAAGTACTACCCAGTAGGTCACAATGACAAGCAGACAATTATTTAAATCAAAGTATACGCTGCAGATCAATGCAGTTGAAGAGGAACCTGCAACACTCGAACCTAAAGATTGGCGATTTTTGATTATCGATTATGTCTTATACGACTTCTTTCCTGAAGGCATCAAGGAAAGAGAATCTATTCGTAGATGAGCACATAGATTCTACTATGATTCTCAATCCCAGACTCTGTATCAAAAATCGTACGATGGGCTTTTGCTTCGCTGTTTGTCAAATAGAGAAGCAAAAGAAGCTCTTAAAGAAGCTCATGATGGCATCTGTGGAGCTCATCAGCCTAGTCCTAAGTTATGGGACCGACTATACAGATTGGGTTATTACTGGCCTATCATGGTACAAGATGATGTCGCTTATGCTAAGTGATGTCATGCCTACCAGATACATGCTAATTACATGCATCGACCGCCCGAGCATCTTCATCTGTCAACCACTTCCTGGCCTTTTGAAACATAGGGAATGGACATTGTTCGCCCAGTGACACCACCCTCTTCTAAAGGACATCGCTTCATCTTAGCGATAACTGATTACTTTTCTAAATGGGCAGAAGCAATCCCGTTGAGAGAAGTCAACACGAGTGATGTTGTTAAATTTTTAAAACATCATGTCGCATACATGTATGGAGTTCCGAGGTGTATCATTCATGACAATGGGCCCCAATTTGTTAGCCAAGTCTTCACCTAATTCTGTGATAAATTCAGGATCAAGAATTTGGCTTCGACGGCTTATAATCCTGCTGCTAATGGGCAAGCAAAAGCATTTAACAAAACCATCGTCAGAATTCTCACTAAGGTAGTGTCGACGAATAAAAGATATTGGAATGAGAAATTGGGTCAAAGTTTGTGGGCTTATCGTACAATGGTTCGCACGCCGACAGGAGCGACACCATATTCCTTGGTATATGGATGTGAAGCCGTATTGCCATTGGAGATCTAAATTACATCTTTACGAATAGCACTCACAATTGGTATGACAATGGAGGAAAGTCATCGCCGACGTCTTGAAGAATTAGAAGCGCTTGATGAAAAGCGACTAATGGCTCAGCAACACATTGAGCTTTATCAAGCTCGGATTTCCAGATCGTTCGATAAGAAGGTTAGATATCGCACGTTCAAAGAAGGCGACTTGGTTCTTGCAATTCGGCGTCCAATGATTTTAAACTCTAAGAAGAAAGGGAAGTTTGAGCCAAAATAGGAAGGACCATTTGTAGTAGAAACTATCTACTCAAAAGGAGCTTATCACCTTATTACTCAAAATGGTGACAAACTTATGATGCCTATCAATGGTAAATTTCTGAAGAAATATTACCCATAAGCTTCACAGTCAAATATGCCTTATAGTAGGAGAAGAAGCAGATAAAGGTAATGATTTCTTTATTTCATCTCCTCCAAATTTCCCTCACTAATCCTCTTCAATAGGATAGTGGGATTATTATTATGTCAATTCTACCTCTGATGGTTGATGGTTTTTCAATAATAGTAACCTACTACGTGATGTGTTGCTTCATGATGTGATTTTTCTAACGTCGTCATTTTCCCAAATGACGTTCGTTTTCTTAACTTAGGCCTACCAAGTGATGTGCCTTCGTTTTCATCATCATCGTCATACTTCTAAAGTCACTAAACGATGTGATCTTCCTAACGTTGTCATTTTCCTAAATGACGTTCGTTTTCCAACTTAGGCCTACCAAGTGATGTGCCTTCGTTTCCATCATCATCGTCATACTGCTTAGTCACTGAACGATGTCATTTTCCTAACGTCGTCATTTTTCCAAATGATGTTCGTTTTTTTAACTTAGGCCTACCAAGTGATGTGCCTTCGTTTCCATCATCATCGTCATACTGCTTAGTCATTGAACGATATCATTTTCCTAACGTAGTCATTTTCCCAAATGACGTTTGTTTTCTTAACTTAGGCCTACCAAGTGATGTGTCTTTGTTTTCCTAACATCGTTATTTTCCCAAATGACGTTCGTTTTCTTAACTTAGGCCTACCAAGTGATGTGCCTTCGTTTCCATCATCATCGTCATACTGCTTAGTCACTGAACGATGTCATTTTCCTAACGTCATCATTTTTCCAAATAATGTTCGTTTTCCAACTTAGGCCTACCAAGTGATGTGCCTTTGTTTCCATCATCATCGTCATACTTCTATAGTCACTGAACGATGTAATTTTCCTAACATCGTCATTTTTCCAAATGACGTTCGTTTTCTAACTTAGGCCTACCAAGTGATGTGTCTCCGTTTTCATCATCATCATCATACTACTTAGTCACTGAACGATGTCATTTTCCAAATGTCGTCATTTTCCCAAATGACGTTCGTTTTCCAACTTAGGCCTACCAAGTGATGTGCCTTCGTTTCCATCATCATCGTCATACTGCTTAGTCGCTGAATGATGACATTTTTCAAACGTCGTTATTTTCCTAAATGACGTTCGTTTTCTAACTTAGGACAACCAAGTGATGTGCATTTGTCGTTGTTATTCTAAGTTATTGAATGACTTGACCATTCCTACATCGTCATTTTTTTGAATAACGTTTGTTTAATAAGTTCGTACTTCGCTATGTTTTGAGCTTCGTTCTTAATACTTGGTTATATTTTGAACCTCTTTATATAAGTTCGTACTTCGCTATGTTTTGAGCTTCGTTCTTAATACTTGGTTATATTTTGAACCTCTTTATCATACATTTGATCTGAAGTCTAAAAGATGAACCTCTTTATCATACATTTGATCTGAAGTCTAAAAGAGACTAAAGATAGAAGAGAAATCTTAGCATTAAAGTCCAAGGGAAACTCTTTGACAACTCATCATACTGAGGGGAAAAGTATGACTAGTCCAACTTAAACGGCAATTGGTAAAGACAACTCAAGTCCGTTGATAGCTGAGGGCTTGCTAAAAATCCTAAATTAGAATGCTTCAGTTATGCAAAAGAACAATATGTGGATAAAATATAAATTTTATTCATATACAGTTAAAAGTACAAAAACTCGAAGTACATAGATCAAACTTAGAAGACTTGAACTACAATACGAGGTTCAGTTATAAGTTCTTTCAACTACAATATGAGGTTCGGTTACAAGTTCTTTTGACGACACTCGGACTACAATATGAAGTTCAAGATTGCACTATGAGCCTCGTCCGCAACAAACTCGTTGTCTTGTTGTTAAAGTTCCATCTTCCGTTCCTGGGTATGAAGTCTTCCCTATACCCAACTTTTAGCTTTGACACTTGTAGAACATGTTTACCTACTTGGGTAAACTATCTACTAATTGAAACACCACAAGCTCTGAGCATAGGATCAGCACTTTTCCCATCTCCGCAAAACGTGAAGACAGCTCTAACATTGTTGCTGACTCCTCTCAAAAGAAGCACTTCACTGAGTCTGTGAAGTTGCCGCATAGACCGAAGTCCAGCAAAGGGACTGCATGCTTGGGGGTGCATAGCATGCCAAAACAGTGAGCATATTTGGATTCAAGATATCTCATAGGAGGTACATTCAAAAGTCCAAAAGGTTGTCGAAATATGTCCTGATTTCGACTCTGGGACACTGAGAAATCCTCAAATGAGCGAGCTACTACAAAGACCAAGAGATTAGGGATCGGGTCAGAAGAGTTACCTAAAGTGACAAAGTCATCAACTTTGCCTACCTCATCGGCGATGATTATCGGAGCTTGGAATCTAATAGGAAGCAAAGGTGGAAGTCTTAAAATGGTTTGTTTCCTCTTAATCATTTTGGAAGCAAGGCACAGAGAGGAAGATGAATCCTCTTGAAAAGCGACTGCCTAATTATAAGCGAAGGAGCCAACCAAGTGGCTGGGATTCATTACACGAATTCCTAAACACTGAATCGCCAAAGGGTGCTAAGAACGAAGTGGCGCAATCAATTGCATTCATAATTAATGCTAAAGAAAACGTGGCTCGAAGTGACGCATTAAGTGCTCAAGACTTAACGCTGACGAGATGAAACAACAAATTCTCATGGATTAATAGTCTTGGAACTGTTGAAAGTTGTCACGTCATTCATTGAGATTTATTCTCATTCCTAAGTCAAAAAATAACGAGGGTCACCCCTCGTTATTTTTTGACTTAGGTATTAAAACTCGATCGAAAGTGGATTCGAACCTCGTCTTCGACGAAGGGAATCCCTCTATTCGAACTCAAGTGTTAAAACTTGATGGAAATTGGATCCAAACCTCGTCTTCGACGAAGGTTGTTTCTTTAATTATACTTAAATATTAGATCCGAACCTCATCTTAGACGAAGGTCGTTCCTCTAATTGAACTCAAGTATTGAGACTTGACTAAAATTGGATCTGAACCTCATCTTTAACGAAGGTCGTTCCTTTAATTATACTTAAATATTGGATCCGAACCTCGTCTTAGACGAAGGTCGTTCCTCTAATTGAACTCAAATATTGAGACTTGATCAAAATTGGATCCGAACCTCGTCTTCGATGAAGGTCGTTCCTTGGATTTTACTCAAGTATTGAAACTCAATTGAGATCGGATTTGAACCTCGTCTTCCATGAAGGTCATTCCACTAATTGGGTTCAAACGCCGAGGTTTAATTGAATGAGACCAGAACCTCATTATGTCAAATACAAATTGGAATATTGAATCCAACCTCGTATCAAAGTAACAAGGTTCGTACTTCAAGTCTTAAAATCACAAAGCAACGAAGTTCATGAACTTTGGCATTAGATTATGCATTGAAGTACAAACTAGAGTTAGTGAACAAAGACATCCTAAATTCTACTTATAAAAAAAATGTGAGGAAGGAGCCTACAAATGTCCGATAAAGAAAATGGAGCTAAATGGACCTAGTGATCTGACGAATCTCCGCAGCAAGCTTAGCTATGGATTCCTGGTTTTCTACCTCAACGTCAGCCAAAGCATGTCTACGCAGCTCCTCATTGGAATAGATGCTCATGTCATTTATATTTTTTTCTAACTGATCCATTCGATCAATTTCGGCTTGAAACAAGGGCTGATGTTGCATTTGTTTTGAAGCTAATGTCTGCCTCATGTCTGTCATGCCCGCTAACTCTGCTTCAGCCTTCGCCAGTTAGGCCTGAAGAGCCTTGAGTTTAGCTTGAAGATGGTCGACCTGACGTTGCTTTTGAAGTTTGGCGTTTGCAACCTTTCTACCCTCACGAGACAAATTCTCTTCAATCTCTTTAAACTCCTTAATTCGTTGCTTGGTCTCAAGCAATTGACGATCAAGTTCAAATAAGGAGTCATTCCTTTGCCGCATAGTTTGCATGGCCCATTCCTCAGCTAAAGGGTAAAGAGATCGAGACCGACGATCTTGCCATCGATTGAAAAGATCTTCAACCTTGGTCAGGTGCAACCAATACAGCAAC